TGGCTAAAGAATTTATCTTTAATTCATTTAGAAGCTGTTTTTGGTATCCTGTGAGGCAAGCCTCTGATCCTTTTTCTACAGTGGGGGTTGGGGAGTGTGACAGTTACCATTTATGGAGTAACTCTTTTTCCTAGCAGCAGAATTACCACATTCATCATACATTTTCTTTTTTCTTTTTAAAATTTTCATGTATTTGAAAGCCAGAAACAGACGAGAGAGGTCTTCCATCTGCTGGCTCACTCCCCAAATGCCTGATCTGTCTGTGCTGGGCTAGGTTGAGGTTGGGAGCCAGGAACTCCATCCAGGTGTCTCCCTGGGGTTGGCAGGGACCCAGTCACCTGAGCCGTCCCTGCTGCCTCCTGTCTGCAGGATCAGGAAGCTGCAGTCAGGAGCCGGAGCACAGGGGATGCAGGCGTCTTAACTGCTAGGCTGCGTGCCCGCTCCTCCACCGGGCTCAGAGGCTGATGTCTCCTCATGTGGGTTTTGCCTTAATCGTGTTTGTTTGAGAGAGCTCCCATCCTCTGGTCTGTGCTGAGCTGAAGCTGGGAGCTGGAACTCAGTCCAGCTCTTCCACGTGGGTGGCAGAAATGCAGTTACTTGAATGATCTCCACTGCCTCCCAGGGTCTGCGTTAGGAAGCTGGAATCAGGAAGCAGAGCTGCTCTCAAAGCCAGGCGCTTCCGGCTGTCCACGGACCTGCTAGGCGGTGTGCTAACCCCTGGGAGAAAGGCCTGCCCGTCTTCATTTGTTTCTTTATGACTGAGCGTCAGCCGTTCCCAGCCTCCTCGTACCCCTCTGGGGTGTGGCTGGGACGGTGACCTGGGTCCCGGTTCTGTGACTGACCATGTTTATTCCATTCTACAGCTTTGACAACTATTCTGCCAATGTTATGGTAGATGGAAAACCAGTGAATCTGGGCTTATGGGATACAGCCGGACAAGAAGATTATGACAGGTTACGGCCCCTGTCCTACCCACAAACAGTAAGGATCGCAGCTGGTTTTTAACTGTCTTTTAGAGTTTATGTCCCTGAATATTGAATTAATGCATATCACCTACAGACGTGCTTCTGTTGCCATGACTTCGACATAGTGGCTAACAGGAAAGGTAACGTTAGCCCAGTAGTAAATGCTTTCCTAGTTGGGAGCTTGGTTTTTGCTGCCTGGGCATTGCCAGCTATTTCAGCACTGTGCACTTTACATTCTTGTATGCTTTGTTATTGTTAATCCATTAGTTTATTTTCATTTGCCTTGGAAGACAGACAAGAAATATTCCGTGTGCTGGTTCACTCCCCAAATGTCTGCAACAGCTGGGCCAGGCCGGAGCCAGTAGGCATGAACTCGGTGGGGGTGTCCCACGCGAGTGGTGACCGCCCAGGTACTTGAGCTGTCACCTGCTGTTCCAAGGGTGCACGCTAGCAAGGGAGCTGGAGTCAGAACCAGAACTGGGACTGGATCCTGGGAACTCCAGTGCAGGGTATGGCGTCTTTTTTTTCTTTTTTTGATTGATTGATTGATTGATTTGAAAGGCAGAGTTAGAGATAGAGGTAGAGACAGAGAGGTCTTCCATCTGCTGGTTCACTCCCCAAAGGGCCGCAACTTGACAAAGCTGGGCTGATCTGAAGCCAGGAGCTTTTTCCGGGTCTCCCACGTGGGTACGGAGCCCAAGGATTTATGCCATCTTCCACTGCTTTCCTAGGCACATTAGCAGGGAGCTGAATTGGAAGAGGAGCAGCCAGGACCCAAAGTGGTGCCCATGTGGGATGCTGGCTTTACTTACTGCATCATGGTGCTGGACGTGTGGGATAAGGCATCTTAACCTCTATCTATAAATGCTTACTCCTCTTTTATTTAATTTTAGGACGACCTTATGGAATCAGTACTGTTTTGTGTTTACAAAACACTTTAAAAAATACTTGCATATTGGGGCTGGCACTGTGGTGTAGCAGGTAAAGCCGTTGTACTGCCTACCAGTGCCGGCATTCATTCCATATGGGTGCCGGTTTGAGTCCTGGCTGCTCCACTTCCAGTCTAGCTCTCTGCCTCTTCCTCTTTGTAACTCTGCCTTTCAAATAAATAAATCTTTTTAAAGATGTCTATATTTATTCATTTGAAAGGCAGAGTGACAGGAAGGAAGAGCAGAGAGAAATCTAGCATCTACTGGTTTGCTTATCACATGCCCACAACAGCTTGGGTTAGACCACGTGTGGCCAAAGAGGAGCCCAGAACTCCATCCTGGTCTCCCCGTGGCAAGGACGTAAGTACTTGAACCATCATCTGCTGCTTTCCCATGTGCATTAGCAAGGAGCTGGATGGAAAGCAGAGTAACGAGGACTCGAATCACGCATTTCCATATGGGATGTGCGTGTGCCAAGTGGTGGTTTACCCATTGTGCCACAATGCCCGCCTCACAAGTCACTTTCTTATTTTTATTTTTGTGATAGAGTTACAGAGAGGGAGGGAGTATGATCGTCCATCTCTGGATCACTCCCCAAATGGCCTCAGTAGCTGAGGCTGTGCCAGGCCAAGACCAGAAGCTTCATTTGGGTCTCTCACATGGGCACAGGGGCCCAAGTACTTGGACCCTTTTCTTTGGCTTTCCTTGGCTCATTAGCAAGGAGCTGTATTGGAAGTGGAGCAGTTGTGACTTGAACCAGCACCCATATGTGATGCTGGTGTAGAGGCAGTGGCTTCACTGATTATGCACAATTTGCACAAACCTTTCTTGTTTTGTTTTGTTTTTAAGATTTATTTACTTTACTGAAAGAGTTACAGAGGAGAGGCAGAGGGAGAGAGATCTTCCATTTTTGGTTCACTCCCCAAATGTCCACAATCGTTAGGGCTGGGCCAGGCTGAAGCCAGGAGCTTCCTCCAGGTCTCCCAGGCGGGTGCAGGTACTCAAACACTTAGATCATTTTCTGCCGGTTTCCCAGGCTCGTGAGCAGGGAGCTGGATCGGAAGTAAAGCAGCCGGGACTTGAATTGGCGCCCATATGGGATGCTGGCACTGCAGGTGGTGGCTTCATTCACTGTGCCACAGCACTGGCTCCCACAAGTCAATTTTTTTTTAAGCTTTATGTATTTATTTGAAAGGTAGAATTTGAGAGAGAGAGAGAGAGAGAGAGAGAGAGAGAGATATCTCAATCCCCAAATGGCTGCAGTGACCAGAGCTGGGCTCATCCAAAGCCAGGAGCTTCTCCTGGGTCTCCCCTGTGGATGCAGGGCCCAAGCACAGGGGCCATCTTCCGCTGCTTTCCCAGGCCATTGGCAGGGAGCTGGATCAGAAGTGGAGCAGCTGGGACTGGAACTGCCACAGCGCTGGCCCCCACAGACCACTTTTTAGCAGCAGTTAGTCTCAGGGTGGTTTGCTTTGTGATAGTTTTTACAACAGAATCAAATCTCATTAAAGTTGAGGTGTACTTATTACAAGTTAGTAAGTAATCTAATGAACTTAGTACTTTTCTTATAAAATTCATAATTTCTGTGGCTTAAATACCTAAATCTTTAGTGTAAATATGAGGTTTCAGTTTTGTAAAGTATATACGGTATGCAGTCAGAAAACATTTTCAGATGAGTTTTGCTTCTATTTCAGACAACTGAATGGTTTATGTACTAAAGCTGATGGAATAGTAGTTGGCAAAACAGTAGCTCTCAGGGTTGCAAGCCACTTTGTTAGGCGTGGCGTTTGCCTGTCCTGTTCCATGTTCTTTGTTTGGGACATGACTGACAGGCTGAAGCAAACATACTGCAGAGAGGTGGCAGAGCACAGTGCTTGGGTTCAGGTCTTGTCCCCTACTTGGCCCTGGGTGGGCTGGACCGCTCCTGACTTCTGAGTGGGCCTGTCCCTCTCAGGAGTGGCTGAGTTCACGCACACGTGAGGAAGCACATGCAGGCACCCGCGTGTGCTCTGCTGCGGGAGTCCTCCTCCCCCCCACTGTGTCTCAGCCGGGCTAGGGCACTCCTTGTTTCTGGGTTGTGCCCCTGAACCTGGCCGGAGGGGCTCCAGTCAGACTAGGGAGACACCATAGCGAGAGGCAGACTGTGACCCTTGACTGACGGGGTAGCCTTTGGTGATTTTTTTATTTGTTTTTATATGAAAGGCGTAGAAAGAGACACCTTTTATCTGCTTCTTCACTCAGATGCCCAGAACGGTGGGGCTAGACCAGGCTGAAGCCAGAGGATTGGACTTCCATCTGGAACTTCCATGTGGTTAGCAGCAGCTTGAGCCATTTGCTGGCTCCCAGGGTGAATTGGTAGGAAGGTATTGGAAGCAGAGCTGGCACCTGAACCCAGCATTCCAGTAGGATGGGGACATCTCAGGCTGCATATTAACCACTGCACCTCGTGCCAACCCTCAGTTTTGAGATTTTTTTTTTTCTTTGAAAGAGTAACAGGGCTTCCATCATTGGCTCATCCCCCAAGTGGATAAAACAGCTGGGGTTGGACCAGCCTAAAGACAGGAGCCTAGAACTCCATCTGGGTCTCACACATGGGTGGCAGGAGCACAAGCACTTGGACCATTACCTGCTGCTTCCTAGGCACATTAGCAGGGAGCTGGATTGGAAGTGGAGAGAGTAGCTTAGCGGGTAAAGCTTTTGCCTGCAGCGCTGGCATCCCACATGGGCACTGGTTTGAGACCTGGCTGCTCCACTTCCAGTCCAGCTCTGCTATGGCCTGGGAGAGCAGTAGACGATGGATGGCTCAAGTGCTTGGGCCCCTGCACCTGCATGGGAGACCTGGAAGAAGCTCCTGGCTTCTGACTGGCCCAGCTGTAGCTGTTGCAGCCAGTTGGGGAGTGAACCATGAGATGGAAGACCTCTCTGTGCGCCTGTGCCTGTTTGTAACTCTGCTTTTCAAATAAATAAATAAATCTTTAAAAAGAGAAAAAAAGGAAGTGGAGCAGCTGGGATTTGAACCAGTGTCATAAGTGCCAGATTAATCACAATGCCATTACCACACTGGCCCCCACTCACACCCCCTCAACACCTGCCCTGCGTTTTAAACTTTTTTTTTTTTTTTTTTTTTAAGATTTATTTTATTTATTTGAAAGGCAGAGTTGCAGAGAGAGGGAGGGAGAGAGACAGATCTCTTCCATCCCCTGGTTCACTCCCCGAACGGCCACAACAGCTAGGGCTGGGCCAGACTGAAGCCAGGAGCTTTCTCTGGGTCTTCCACATGGGTGCAGGGGCCCAAGCACTTGGGCCATCTTCCACTTTCCCAGGTCCATTAGCACGGGGCTGGATTGGAAGTGGAGCAGCTGGGACTCAAACCGGTGCCCACATGGGATGCTGGCACCACAGGTGGCGGCTCTACCCATTACTCCTGGCTTCAGATTGGTGCAGCTCTGGCGTTGCAGCCATCTGGGGAGTGAACCAGTGGATGGAGACCTCTCTCTCTGTCTCTGTGTGTCTCTCTCTCTGCCTTTACCTTTCAAATAAATAAATAAATCTTTACCAAAAAAAAAAAAAAGATTTTACAGTGATTTTGAAACATACTGCCAATACACCTAGCAGGGTGTGGCTGTACTCCTCTGAGAAAGGCGCCACGCTGCTGTGAGTCAGGACACAGGTAGGGCGAGGCCTTGTCCTCGCAGTCGCCCGTGGTAAGGCAGAGGTGACTTGGCGGGAGTCCCACTGCGTGTGCAGACGCGGCAGTGTGCGAGGCCTGCGGTCACAGAGGAGGTGTCCATTCGGGGCTATTCTTTAAACTTCGGACGCTCCCTGGTCAACACTCCCTGTAGGGACAGAGACACGCTTCTTGCCCTCCTGGAACTCAGACGAGTCCCGTAGGCAGCTGCGTGGGGTAACCTGGCTCACTGGCAGAGCCACGCCTGCTCGGGCTCCCTTGGAGACAAGGAACTATCTCGGCAACTGAGGGACAGGCCCAGTGCTGACACTCTGGCGCCTGCGGGGTCTCCTTCCTGGAGCCTCCATGGCTGCGCACACTCACTCCACGGGGCCAGCGAGAAGTGGGCTTCTTTCTTTTTTTTTTTTTTTTTTTCCATACAGCATTTTTTTTTAAAAAAAAAAGGTTGATTTATTTTAAAGAGTTACAGGGAAGGAGAGGCAGAGAGATCTTGTATCTGCTGGTTCACTTCCCAAATGGCTGAAGTGGTCAGAGCTGGGCTGATCCGAAGCCAGGAGCTGCTTCTGGGTCTCCCACGTGGGTGCAGGGGCCCAAGCACTTGGGCCATCTTCCCCTGCTTCCCAGGCCATTAGCCCATGTGCATATGGGATTCCAGCCCCACCGGTGGTAGCTTTACCAGATTCGGCATGGCGCCGGCCCCTGCTGTTTTTTTGTTTTAAGACTTTTTTTTTTAATCTATTTGAAGCCTGAGTCAGAGAATCTTCTATCTGTGGGTTCACTCCCCAAATGGCCACAATGGGCAGAGCTGGGCCAGGCCAAAGCCAGGAGCTTCTTTGAGGTCTCCCATGTGGATCCAGAGGCCCAATTACTTGGACCGTCTTCCACTGCTTTCCCAGGCCGTTAGCAGGGAGCTGGATTGCAAGTGGAGCAGCTGGGACTCAAACCCATATGTGATGCCGGTGCTGCATGCAGAGGCTTAACCCACTGTGCCACAGCGCTGGCCCTAGCACTATTTCTGTGTTAAATTATATTTAAAAAGAGACAGGGACAGCCAGGCAAGGAGGGGACAGCACTGGGAGGCAGGATGGTGGCAGCGGTACCTGTCTCAGCCACAGCCCAGTGTCCAGGGCTCGTGCCCCGTTTTCTGTCCTCTGTGCTGGAGATCTGCGTCCCCTCCTCAGCTCCTGCTCCCCCAGCACCGCCCCACCCTGTCCCGTCTGCCTTCCTCCTCCTCCTCCTCCTCCTCCTCTTCCTCCTCCTCCTCCTCATCGCCCGGTCCAGCAGCACCTCACCAACACATCATGCTTGGGTTCAACTTCCGCCTCTTTTGCACCTGCTCCCCCAGCACCGCCCCGCCCTGTCCCACCTGCCTTCCTCCTCCTCCTCCTCAGCTCCTGCTCCCCCAGCACCGCCCCGCCCTGTCCCGCCTGCCTTCCTCCTCCTCCTCCTCCTCCTCAGCTCCTGCTCCCCCAGCACCGTCCCGCCCTGTCCCACCTGCCTTCCTCCCCCTCCTCCTCCTTCGCCTCCTCCTCCTCCCCCCCCTCCTCAGCTCCTGCTCCCCCAGCACCGCCCCGCCCTGTCCCACCTGCCTTCCTCCTCCTCCTCCTCAGCTCCTGCTCCCCCAGCACCGCCCCGCCCTGTCCCACCTGCCTTCCTCCCCCTCCTCCTCCTTCGCCTCCTCCTCCCCCCCCCCTCAGCTCCTGCTCCCCCAGCACCGCCCCGCCCTGTCCCACCTGCCTTCCTTCCTTCCTCCCCCTCCTCCTCCTCAGCTCCTGCTCCCCCAGCACCGCCCCGCCCTGTCCCGCCTGCCTTCCTCCTCCTCCTCCTCCTCCTCCTCAGCTCCTGCTCCCCCAGCACCGCCCCGCCCTGTCCCACCTGCCTTCCTCCTCCTCCTCCTCCTCCTCCTCCTCCTCCTCCTCAGCTCCTGCTCCCCCAGCACCGCCCCGCCCTGTCCCGCCTGCCTTCCTCCTCCTCCTCCTCCTCCTCCTCAGCTCCTGCTCCCCCAGCACCACCCCGCCCTGTCCCACCTGCCTTCCTCCTCCTCCTCCTCCTCCTCCTCAGCTCCTGCTCCCACAGCACCGCCCTGCCCTGTCCCACCTGCCTTCCTCCTCCTCCTCCTCCTCCTCCTCAGCTCCTGCTCCCCCAGCACCGCCCCGCCCTGTCCCACCTGCCTTCCTCCCCCTCCTCCTCCTTCGCCTCCTCCTCCTCCCCCCCCTCCTCAGCTCCTGCTCCCCCAGCACCGCCCCGCCCTGTCCCACCTGCCTTCCTTCCTCCTCCTCCTCCTCCTCCTCCAGCTCCTTGGCACCTCACTCACTGCCACCTCCACGCCCAGAGGCCCCGGATGGAGGTAGGCAGTGGCTTTAGGCTGGGGTCCCTCGAGGCCCAGAGGCATGGGTCAGAGCAGCGGTCCCTTGGCTTGGGCTTGCCGCCCCGGGAAGGGCACTGCTGACTGGAAGGTTTCTTACCTTGGGCCTCCTGGAAGGAGGTGTGACATTCCCATGGCCGTTGAATCCCAGCGTCCATCGCTGGGTGCTGCTGATGGCTGAGTAGATCTGTGTGAAGCCTGAGTTTCCATTGGCTGTCCGAAAGGCTGCACAGTGGCCATCGTTTTCAGGTGGAACTCCCCTTCACGCTTTTCTCACCGTTGGTGGAGAATTCTCTGAGTGTCCTGTCAGTCCTGTGCCCAGGCTCAGGGTGAAGGCATGGCCAGTGTCTCGCCTTCCTGTGCGAGTGGGAACACGAGTGACATGCTGGTGTCACAGCGAGCCCCCCAGCAGTGCAGCCGTCTGCTGAGGTGGTGGGCCCGCACGCCTGTGCGTTGTGCCAGCGTTGTGTCTGCTGTGTGTGTTCTGACGTTCGCTCTGCAACATTGGGCAGTGTGGTTCCTCAGAAGGCCCGCCCTCCTCATTAGGGCGACCTGATAAACGTGTCCATGTCCAGGCTGGCGCAGCACAGCGGGTTGGGCTGCTCCGTGTGCTGCCAGTATCCCATCAGTCCAAGTCCGTTCCCCATCTGGCCTCCAACTCTACCTCTGAAATAAATGAATCTAACCAGAGTTAGAGAAGGCAAGTCAGAGAGGTCTTCCATCTATTGATTCCCTCCCCCAAATGTCTGCAACAGCCAGAGCTGGGCCAGTCTGAAGCCAGGAGCTTCTTCCCACATGGGTACAGGGGCCCAAGGACTGGGGCCATCTGATTTCTCAGGCCATCGCAGAGAGCTGGATCGGAAGTGGGGCAGCCGGGACTCGAACCGGCGTCCATATGGGATTCCAGTGCCACAGGCAGAGGCTTAGCCTACTGTACCACAGCACCAGCCCCTCCCATCTGGCTTTCTGCTGATGTGCTTGGGAAGGCGGCAGAGGATGGCCCACATCCTTGGGCCCTCGCCACCCCTTCAGGAAACTCGGATGGGGATTCTGGCTTCTGGCTTCGGCCTGGCCCAGCCCTGGCTGTTGCAGCCATTTCAAGAGTAAACTAGCAGATGGAAGATATCGCTGTCTCTCTCTCTCTCTCTCTCTGTGTCTCTGTCTCTCTCTCAGCCTTTCAAATAAATCAGTCTTGGTTTTCTTTTTTTTAAAGTGTCAGTGTCCTCCAGCACAGGTCACTAGGAACACACTTTGAGTTAAAATTGGGTTTGTTCCCCTTCGCTGCAGATGACACACACAGCTTCAGGCTGATGTTGATTTGGGAGTGAGGTCTCAGAGAGGCAGGGTCGATTCGTTTCTAGAAGCAGAGAGAAATCTCCTGTCCACTGGTTGATGCCCCAGATGCCCACAACATTACGGCCTGGCCTGGCCAAAGCTGGGGGCTGGGAGCTCCAGGTCTCCCCCATGGTGGCAGGGAACCAACCAGTTGAGACATCACCCACTGCCTCCCAGGGTGTGCATTAGCAGGAAGCTGGAGTTGGGAGCAGAGCGGGGACTGAGAGATGCAGGTGTCACAGGTGGCGTCTGAAGCGCCAGGCCAGTGCCCGCCCAGAAGCAGTGCTTTGTTCTCGACTGGACGCTGCAGGGAGGCAGGGTACTGTGACGGGTCCAGCAGCCCACGTAGCAGCGGGGCGGAGGCCCCGAGGCTGGCACTGGGACTGCTGGGCAGTCGGTCATCATGGCGGGGGTGGGTGTGTGGTGATGGTGTAGACAGCGTGCTGACCTTGGGTCTGTCTGCATTTAGACAGGATCGTGACATGTTTGTGTTTAATGCAGGAAACGTGCTGTTTTTTGTTTTAAGAAAACAGTTGTGGGGATAGAGTGCATGAGCTCCCTATCCACTGGTTCATTCCTCAAAATCCCTGCAGGAACCCGCGTGGAGACCTGGAAGAAGCTCCTGGCTCTGACTCCAGCCCATGCCTGGCTCTTGGGCACCTGGAGAGCGATCCACAAATAGATCTCTCCCTCTGTCTCTCCCGCTTCCTCTAACTGTGACTTGCAAATACAGCATTTTCCAAATGCCTGCAGCAGCCGGGGCTGGGTTAGGTGGAGAACCACGTGGGTGCCAGTGACCCAGCCACTGGAGCCGGCACCTGCTGCTCCTGGGTGCGCGGGTGCAGGTGCTCTGGTCTTGTTGGTGTGTTGTGTCCTGGCCTCATTTCTGCTTCATCGGACTCGAGCATGCCACGTGCCTGCTTTACTCCGCGGGCGCCGCTGTGGCTGTGGCTGTGGCTGTGGGTGCGGGCTGGTTCTGGCCGCCAGGGCTGCATCTTGTGGCTGAGCTCCACGCTGATGCATGCCCAGCCTCCTTGGGTTCTGCCTTTGCTCTCTCTATAAAACTAGCCCTTTCCCCAGTGCCTGCAGCCCCTGTAATTTAAAAGAAAGAAATCCAAGCCTAACAGTGAGAGGCAGGCAGGCGGCATGTGGAAGAAGATCCATGAAAGAGAAAGTGAGGGTGCTGTGGGGGTGAGCCCGGCTGTCGGGACGCGTGGCGAGCGTGCCGCTGGGTTCCTGGGTGGTGACGGGGACACAGGAGTCGGGACGTCAGCAGAGCTGCCACGTCCCTGAAAGGCGCAGCGGGCGGCAAAGCAGAAAGTGGCGTGGTCAGGGAGGGTGGGCCTGTGGCTGTGCGTGACCCGCGGTGCTGAGTGAGGACAGGGAAGGCAGAGGCTCTCTGCCAGGGTCAGCCAGCCCACCTCCCCGTCCCGAGGCGGCAGGACCGCAGAGGTCGGCAAGAGCTGACGCCAGAGGCTGGGTCTTGGGGCACGGACGCTGTGTTCGGGTGGGGGAAGGAGGACAGACAGCAGCAGGCAGGTGGCACGAGGAGCCGCCCGGCTTCTGGTGTGCGTGTGTCTTCAGAGTCGAGTGTGACCGAGGATTCTCACTTGGATTTTTTTGAAAGGCGAAGAGACCGAGATCAGCCACCTGCTGCACTCTGCGCCGCCCTGGCTGGGGGGGTGTAGGAGCCGTGCGTGACTGATCACTAACAAGCCTGCGTCAGCTAAGATTTGGCACCAGAACAAGAGTGGTCACAGGTTAAACCTGAGGAATTACAGAAACTAACATGCTTGTCAAATTATAAATCAGAGAAACGTGAGATGAATTTCAAATAACAAATCCCCGTTTTCTTAAAAGGATTCCAGGGCGCTGTGTTGGAAGAGCAAGGCTGTTCATATGTATTGAAACTAAAAATGAGTTGACAGTGTGGTCAGTCCTGGCAGTGTTGTCACTCTCCGAGGGACAGCCCCGTGCAGATCTGCCACGAGGCGGGGGGGAGGGGTCTTAGCGTCCCCAGATGCAAACCGCACCCCCAAGGCTGGAAGTGGACAGGAGCCAAGTGTGCACAGGGACCTCATGGTGACGTGGCACTGAGATGTCCGCTCAGCCGGGCTGTGTTCTGGGAGAGCCTTTGCTGGTGGGCGGCCGCACAGCCAGGCCTCTCTGCTGTGCCCCCCACGGGGCTGTGTCTGCACCTGGGAGCGCTCTGGCTCGGTGGCGTGGTTACATCCTGCAGTGTGCCGCCCACAGCTCCAAGGAGCGCCAGTGTCTGCCAGCGTCAGCCTTCGCCATTCTCGGGGTGTCATGGCGTGATTGGTAGCATTTGGCATCAGAGGTGTTACATTATGGTACATTTGGGATCCTTCAGGTGGGTAGAGACAAAACTCTGATAAAGGGTAAATAACAGGTTCTGTTAATTTTTATTTTCCCCAGTTTGTACAAAACTCAAACAAAATTCTCGTGCATTACTAGGTTGGAGAAACGTATGGTAAGGACATTACGTCCAGGGGCAGAGACAAGCCGATTGCCGTATGTAACCCTTTCAGTCGACTTGAGTCTCAGCTTTCCCTGTTCTGTTTCACTCAGTTTCCCTCGGATCTCCTGCCGAGCCTCGCGTTCCTTGCGTGTTTTCTATTCGATTCACTCAAGGTTGGGCTTGTGCTTGACGAATGAGCTCCGTTAGCACGCGCTGGCGCCCACCAGTGGGAACCCCAGCAGTTCCCCGGCTGCTCTCTGCCCTCCTCCGAGGCAGGAGGAAGCAGGGTGCGCGTCAGGGCCTCTGTCGGCGCTGGCCTGGAGAAGCCGCCGGCTCACAGGCTGCGCGCTAACCGGAGCAGGACTAACCGCTGCCAGGGCCTCCTCTCTGCGCTGTGGTGTCCGGGCGGCTGGGCAGGGCTGCTGAGCTAACCCAACCGTGCTTGCCGTGGATGCCGGGTGCTGTGGTGACTGCTGGACGAGCTTGTGCATGCGCCGGCGTTCAGAACGCC